GCCACGGCACTCTACCCAGGGGGGCAGCTTGAGGCTCTGTCTCAAAAAAAAAAAAAAAAAATAGCAGTCCTCACCTACATGCCCTCCAGGATTGCCTGAAGAGCGAAATAAGGTGGAAGGGATTTGTGTTTTTGCTTGTTTGTAATCTGCAGATGGGGTGACCATATGTCCTGGTTTGCCTGAGGCCTTCCACTATATATCTGTAGCTCCAGTATAATTAATAATAGTGCCCCCTTCCACTCTCAAACATGTCCAGAAGACCAAGAGATGTATGGTCCCCCATTTGGAGCACTTACTATGTTATCAGACACTGTTCTAATGCTTTGTCTACATTAACTCAATTCTTTTTGTTTTTTTCTTCTTGAGACAGAGTCTCACTTTGTCACCCTTGGTAGAGTACCACGGTGTCATAGCTCACAGCTACCTCAAACTCTTGGGCTCAAGCATGCTCATACCTCAGCCTCCCAAGTAGCTGGGACTACAGGCGCTTGCCACAACACCCGGCTATTTTTAGAGAAAGGGTCTCGCTCAGGCTCAGGCTGGTCTCAAACCTGTGAGCTCAAGAAATCCACCCACCTCAGCCTCTTAAGTGCTGGGATTAAAGGCGTGAGCCATGAGCCACCACATCCTGCCCCACATTAACTCAACTCTTCACAACCCTGCTGTGTACGCAACATTAGTATTGTCCTCATTTCATGGATGAAGAAACAGAAGCAAGAGTCGCTTGCCCAAGAGCACAGCTAGAAAGTGGCAAATCCAGGATTCCAGGCTGGCAAGATAGCTGCAAAATCTAAACCTTTAGTTGCTAGGAGCACCTGTTTTTGGTTGCAAGGAAAAGACACTAGCTTGACAAAAATAAGAATTGTTCTACAAATACAGGAGTAGTTCACAGAACCCAAGAACAGGAAAGCAGAGAAGAAGACCTCATTGGCATTAGAAGGCCAGAGATAGGGAACAGAAAAAGCCCCAGAGAGGGACAGTTGGAAAAAGCCCCCACTCTGGAGCTTTTTCCATTCTCTGTTCTCCCCTCCTCTTTCCATCTGCTTTGATCTCCTCTGTAGTTAAGTTCCTTGTGTCACCAGGCTCAGGCGGATCAGAACTGCCTTCCAGGACTAGAGTCCAGACAGGGAGAGTGTAGATTCCCGGCATAACCGGGCATGCCCCCATCAATTCCAAAGTTTCCAGGAAGGAGTTCAATAGTCACAGCTGGGTCAGGATCAAGAGTCCAACAATAGTTTGGAATCCATAGCCATAAAGGGTGAGTTCCACTGGAGCAAGTGCCTATCAGGGACCACTTTTGTGGGTAAGGAGGCAGTTGATGGGTTTAGGGTGACACCATGCCAAAGTCAGGTGGGTGGCAGTGCTCAGTGAGAAGCCAGTGTCACCTGGAGTGTGCATGAGAAGTTGGATGTAGCCCAAGACCCACACTGTCCCCTAGCTCCCATCCCTGATTCTTTAGACAGACCCATTGCCTATGAGCGAGTCTCTCTACTCACAGCTTTACCCAGAGTACAGGCTGTACTGCTAGAGAGCACAGGTCAAGTCCCAGTCGTGCCACCCACTAGGTTGACAAGTTTACTGCTGAGGTCCCAGTGGAAGAGGCATAGGCTCAGCCTGGATTCATGGCTGGGACCGGGAGAGAAAGAACAGGCTTGGGATTTCTGGGATTGGGTAGTGACAACTGCCACCTTCTTTCATTGCATAACTACAATGAAATCCTTGGCCCTGGCAAATGAGTTTATGCCACCACCATGCTGATTGGCTTTGGGGACAAAGATCTGAAGGACAACCATAGGGTCATGTAAGCAAGAGCCCCAGCAAACCTCTGAAATACTGAGAAAGGTCAGAACTTCTCAAAGTTGCATGGAATAAGAAGGGACTCAATTTGCAGTTGTCATTGTTGCCTCAGCTGACCTGAGCCAGTTTCGAACTTGCCAGCCTTGGTGTATGTGGCTGGCGCCATAGCCACTGTGCTATGGGTCCCGAGCCAGAAGGGGTTCGATTTGAAAGAAGAGTGACCTGGAAGGTTGGCACATTTGTGAATGTCCCTTTAGAAATTTACTCCACTGACCTGGCCGAACCTATCCCTTGCGGCCCACTAGCAAATCCAAATTCCAAACATGAGCAGTCGCACACAGTACCTCCAATGTACTGTGCTGCCCTGGCCTCTGGGCCTTGTATATTCTCTTTCTTCTATCTCCAATGGCCTCATTCCCCCCTGCTTCTTGCCTCCTTCTCAGCCTTCAGAAGCCCAACTTAGGTGCCATCTCCTCCAGGAAGCCTTCCCCACCCCTCTTCTGGCACTGCCCCTGACAAGGTTAGATCTTCACAGAATTATGCAGCCCCCTGACACACCTTTCACAGAGGAAGGAGACTGCCCATCCTCATCTCTCTCCCAGTGATGAGCCCCTGGAGTGAGTTGGCAGCTGTATCTTGTACTTGGCACAGGGTATAGCAAGGAGGGAGAGTTCCATGAGTTTCTGTTGAATGACTGTATGCAGGCTGCTGAGCTGTCATGGTTTCCATCAAAACTGATCTCAGTTAACTTCTTTGGACAGATTTCTAGGTCACCACTGCAGACCCCAGAGGTGCTATCACATGGGGTAAAGTTAGTCTGACAGGGTGGCGAAGGTAGGCCCCAGTAGGACAGCAGCTTCCTCAAAAACTGCTTTGTATTAACATACACACCAGTCAGACTTTTGGCTTGTTTAAAATTACTAGGATGAAGACATCATCTGCCCTAAGGATTATACAATTCTGGAAAAGTTACCTAATGCCACTGATAACATGATCAAGTGTCAGCAGGCTGTCAACTGACCAGTATTTAGCTAAAATCAATGGACCCCAGAAGTGCCAGCTGTATGGTAACAGAGTTGGGGAACTCATAGACAGAAGAACTGAGTGTCCACTCAGCAAAAGCCCTGCCTGAGGCTGCAGTGACCAGTGACAAAGTGGCAATGGCGGACCCTCAGTATACATACTGGAGCTCAGGGTACAGGCTGTTGGGACCTGATTCTACTTAGGGTAGTCCCATGATGAAAGAAGCTGCTAGTGAGTCATCTGGGAGAGTTCAGCAGAACTGGACAACCCAGAGGTTATCCAGGCTCTGAGCGTCCAAGATTGTGCAAACCTAGCCTGAACCCCAGAACCTGAAATGGGCAGAGGGACACTACTCAGTCCTAGAGATGCACATTGACACTTTGTTCCAAAGGCCTTTATTATGACTCCAACCCTGTCTGGGGGCTGTGTTCAGGGGACCAGGAGCAGCAGCATGTGCAGGCATCATCTCTCTCTGGCTCCGGCCCCTCTTGAGGGAAGCAGGGGGGCAGCCCTCACACCTGGCAGCCTTGAGTGCTATACTCCTGGAGGAAGTCCCTGAGCTGGGCACAGGCTGCTCGCTGGCGGGTGCTCTGGCACAGGCGTGCAGAGGGCATCTCCTCGATCCAGCTATTCGAGTCCAGCAGGTATTGGGGGCTGCAGGGAGAAAGGGGCAGTCAGCAGGGGTCAGGGAATGACAGGCGGAGAGCAGGAAGACCTAGCTTCTGAGGGGACAGGGCCTAGGTGCCAGAATCTGTTCCCTGAGGAAGGTCACTGGGCATGATGAGAGCAAATGCCTGAGGGGACCAGAAACTCACTCTCCCTTAAGGTCATGGGTGGCCCCGTCCAGACCCATGATCAAATATTCTTTCCCAGGTTCCAAATGAAGGCGGCAAGAGGCTCGAACCAGGAAGTTGCGGGTCTGATGGGCAGTGGCTTTGTCATCCTTGGCTGAGGGGATAAGGGTAACACACATCACATCAGAGTGGTCAGAGGGGAAAAGAAGGTGCAGGGTGAGCACAGGGCCAGGGCTCTTCACAGACCACTCATTTAACCTTGGCCACCCCAAGAGAGCTGCTACTGCTTCCCTGCTATGGGCAAGCCCAGGGTTTCTGAGAGGCTAGGGGGGGATTTACGCTCAGACATGTCTGAATTTTCACAATTCTAGCAGTCAGGCCCCAAACCCAGACTTCAGCCTTCCCATCTCCCTCTAGCCCCACCCGCCTCTCTGGTTCCCTTCATACTGAAGTGCAGGACTTGGGTGATCTTGGTCTCAAAGAGGCGGAAGGAAGCTCTGCTGTCTTCTCGGAGAACCTTAACCTGGAAGCCTAAGAAGGGGTTGGAAGAGGAGAAAGTTACTTACCTGGAGACTGAGAGGGATGGAAGTCAGTGTCAGAGCAAAGAGGCTGCCTGTGGGCCTGTGAGAGGAACAGGCAAACCCAGGAAGACCAGAATAGCTGGTCCTGAAGGCGGGTCAGGCAGGGCCGGGGAGACTGACCATACTCCACACGGGGATAGTAGCAAGCGAACTTCATCCTGTAACCATCCTCCTCCTGCAGCCCCCGCTCCAGCGTTCGACGCTGGCGAGGACACTTTCCTGGAAGTGGGGGCCCACATAAGACAGGGCATAGCCCCCTAGCATCTCATCCTCCCATTCCACCCCAGCCCCTGAGTCTCACCCTCAGCACACTGGCAGACATCCCTGGAGCACAGGGTAGACAAAAGTTTGCTCTTACTTGGTGCCCCATAAAACACAGAACATTCGTGCTCTGGAGAAAAGCAGAAAGAGGAGTTAAGAGCGAGCCCCTCTTCTCCTCTCTGCCTCCTCGATCTCGTGGAGCCCCAGGGCTCTCAGCCACCCTTCAATATCCCAGTTCCTGATGTCCCATAGGAGGGCACTTATCCAAAACCTCCCCTGAATGCCAGGGTGTCCCCAGAGTGCTCACCAGGGTTGTAGTAGTCATACAGGGTTGCGCTGGCTGGCTGAACCAGCCCCACGGCCACCTCCTGCACTGCTCCAAAGCCCACACACTCCCGGGAGGTAGGGACCTGGGACAGGTGGGGAGGAGAGATCAGGGACCCAGTCCCTGGGCCCTGAAGGTTACTGTGCCACATTTCCTTGGCCTGCTTCTGTTGGGTCTCATTGATCTTATCACTCGTGTCCTTCACATTCTGTTAATCTTCCTGTTGACAGAACTTGAAAAGCTGCTACCCAAGGTCTCTGATGACTTCACAGCCCCCATGGTGACCTTGTCCCAGTCTTCGCTGCCCCAGGCTCTCTGCAAAGTCTTGCATCATACACACACTCTCTGTGAAACTCTCCCTAAGCTAAGGGTTAGCTTCTGGGGGTTCTGACCTGGTATTCCTCACACTCCCTTCTCCCTTCTCTTCCTCCATGCTCCCTGGGAGGGGGTGTCTCAACCACTCCCTGGCTCCACCATACCCACTCAGGCTGATGGTTCCCAAACTGAACTTTCAGCCCCATCCTTGCATTAGGTTCTTGGTAGGACTTGTACATTCTCCAGCACACTCTACCTGCCCCCCAAACCCACTCACCCTCCTGACAGCCTCATGTTTATCACAGATACCATTGGGTCCTCCTTTATTTGCCATGCTCTGCCAGCAGGTTCCATCACCCCGAGTTGCCCAACTCCCTTCTCACAGCCACACAGGCCCAGCCAAGCCTGGTCCCCTGCCAGGGCCTCTCCTAAGCTGGGCTACCACATCATCAGCTCCCTACCCAGGAACCTTCAGAGCTCCACATTCTCCATCATGTTCAACCCAGACTGCTCTTCCTGGCTTCTCCAGCTGATGAGGGCACTGCCCACAGTGTCTTCCTGACCCACAAATACCTAGCTAATGCTGGCCACCCGCCTTTCTCATATTTTCTCCCAGAAGTTATAGGAAATGTTCAAAAAAAAAAAAAATCTTGGAGGGCCATAAGAGGGTTGATAACTGTTTAGTCAAGTAAGACCATGAAAAGACAAATATAGGCTCGATGCCTGTGGCTCAAGTGGCTAAGGCGCCAGCCATGTACACCCAAGGTGGCGGGTTCAAATCCAGCCCGGGCCCGCCAAACAACAATGACAGCTACAACCAAAAAATGGCCGGGCGTTGTGGCGGGTGCCTGTGGTCCCAGATACTTGGGAGACTGAGGCAAGAGACTCGCTTGAGCCCAGGAGTGGGAGGTTGCTGTGAGCTGAGATGCCACGGCACTCTACCCAGGGGGACAGCTTGAGGCTCCTGTCTCAAAAAAAAAAAAAAAAAAACAAAAAAAAAAAAAAAAAAAAAAGAAAAGACAAATATAACTATCATGTATGGCTACCATTACTTTGCAAAAGAAAATATACTTTAATACTTAAAAAAAACACTAGGAATTTCAATAAGAGAACAAAGGCAGCCCCTCAAGTTGAATAAAATCTGTTTTATGAAAGGCTCCCTTCACAAGCCCTCAGGGTACCCTGGCAGTTGTGCCTGCCTGTGCCTATAGCAGTGGCCTCCTAGAGATCTGACCCTTACTATGCTGTGGCTCACGTGGCTCACACTCTTGTCCTGTCCTCCTGCTGCTGTCGCAGGTTCTCAACATCACTGGCTGTTGACAAAGCTGTCTCCTGAGAAACCTCATAACACATGCTCAGTGAACACGGTGCCCCCGATTCCCTTCCTGCATCACCCCTCCTCACTTACCGAGTCAAAGTATAGCAGGACATGGGGCCCCTCGGTCTCAAAGTGACTCACGTAACGGTCAGAGAGGGAGGTCAGCTGTGGGGAAGAGAAGGTCACAGGTTGGTGGCCCTGGGCCCTGCCCATGACAGGGCTCAGCCCCTGAGGGAAGAAGAGGCTGCTCTGGGCAGCTGCCCGCACCTTTTCCAGGTCAGCCTGCAGGGCATGGAATCCACTCAGGAGGGTGATATCTGCAATGGCCATGCCAGATAGCCCCACCTTGTCAGTCCGCCTGAAGAGAGATGTGACCTGTTAGCAGATTTGGCCTACACAGGTTCCACATGCCCAGCCCCAGCCTGGGTCCCACCCTCCTCCCAGGCCCTGTGTGGATCCCGGAGCCCACCATATGCACACAGTGTACTGCACTCTGGATTCCTCCTCCTCCACCACCTTGGGCGCCTCCCTCCTACGGCGGTTCCTCCGTCCCTCAAACAGCTGCAGGGGCGTCACGGGCTGCACGTGGGCACCTGGGTCATCCTTGGCCAGTTGTTCCTCATAATCATATTCCTCATAGTTTTCATTTGCTTCCACTGCACAAGGAAGCATTGTAAGGAGGGGCCAGGATGGCCACTCAGGTCCCTGCACCAGCCCTGCTGAGCCCCAAGGCCTCCTGACCCCAACACTTACTCGTGTACTCAACATGGCCCTGGACTGTCACTTCAATATGAAGGTCTTGGCAGGTAGTGTTCTTCATGTCCAAGACATTGTAGATGCGAAGAACCTAGCTCAAGAAGGGGCAGGGAGAGGTCAAAAGACACTTGGGGACACAGACTTCTTTCCAGTGCCATGCCTTAAGGGCATCTCCCTGGTAAAGAGGATATAAGGCCTTCAATCCCTTCTCATCCCCTCACCGGACAGTTCATACACATGAGTGGGCACCAGATATGCCACAGGTTTTAGGCAAGACAGTGACATAGAGGTGAAGAAGCAGGGGTATGCCCTCAGAGGTTAGCACTCCAGATGGTGCACAGAGGAGGCTGGAATGGAAGGTTCAGGAAAGGCCTCTGGCTGAGGCTTGGAGAAGGAAAGAGCTTGTTCCAGGGGACAATAAGCAGGAGAAAGACATGAAAGGCACAGACATCTGTGTAGGTGAGTGGGTCTTTCTGGCCAGAGAGGTGGGCAAAACCCAACTATGAGAGTCATGATGAGGTAAGAGAGACTAACTTTTCTCCAAGGCTAATCTGACAGATGTTTTTAGAATGTCTCACTGCTGTTTGGACAATGGCTCAGACAGGTAACGTTTGGAGAAGTTCCAAGTGTCTTAGCACAGAATATGGGACACAAGTGACAAAGGTCCCAGGCAGCAAGGGAAAAGGGGAGAGTTATTGGGGCTATCATGAAAGGGTCAGGGAGGGGCCACTGAGATAGCCTCTAGAGAGGCTGCCGGGCTCCGAGTAGAAGAGGTTCCCATCAGTCAGCCAAAGGACACCAGGAGGAAGAAGGGATTTGGGACGTGCCATGTCCGAGGTGCTATGGGACATGTGGAATCCACACGTCAGGGAAGAGGCCATCTGCACTGACAGGGGTAAAAGTGCCCAGAGATGGGGAGAGCAGAACAAGGGGGAAATGCTCAGGATAATAGCACAGGAGACCAACCCTGAGCTGTCTTCCTCCTCACCTGGACCATGCGCTCTGCCCACAGGTCTCCCACTTAGCCCGCCTCCTCCCTTCTCTGCCCCCACCCTGCCCCTTCCCTGAGCCCTCACCTTCAAGGTTCCTTTGCTGTTTCCTCCCACATTCACATTTATCTTGCTCCCCAAGGAAAACTTTCACCAGCAAAAAAAGGGAAAGAGATGTCAGAAGGTGCAAGGAAACCTATTTCCTGCTCCAACAACTTATCTCTTCTCTCAAAACTACCCTAACCCCTTTTCCATCTCACATTCTGACAAAATTTAAGACTTCATGTGAATATCACACTTCAGCCTCCTAACAACCCTGTTGTTTTTTGTTTTTGTTTTTTTCTTTTGAGACAGAGTCTCACTTTGTGGCCCTCAGTAGAGTGTAACCTCAAACTCTTGGGCTCAAGGGATTCTCTTGCCTCAGCCTCCTGAGTGGCTGGGGACTATAGGTGCCTGCCACAACGTCTGGCTATTCTTAGAAATGGAGTCTTGCTCTTACTCAGGCTGGTCTTGAACCCATGAGCTTAGGCAATCCATCCACCTGGGCCTCACAGGTTGCTAGGATTACAGGCATGAGCCACCATGCCTAGCCAACTATTGAGTAAGCTCTGCATATATTATTTTATAGGTGAGAAAAAAGAAACTCAGAAGTTAGATAAATTTCTCCAAATCACACAGCCAGGAAGTCAGCCTTCCCCCAAGGACCTCAGGAAGAGATGCCTTGGGGATTCCGCAGGTAAGAGGATGGAGGTGGCTTTTGGCCTTGCCATATTTGGGACAGGTGTCATGGAAACCCAGGCAAGGAGGGGTTCACCTGTAGATCTTCTTCTACCCCCTGATTTTGGTGGTTGTTAAGCTGAAGCGCATGGGACTTGAACCCATTTCGGCCTCTGGAGGTAAGAGTCACATTGAGTTCTTTCTCCTCGGTGGTATGGGAAGCAATCCAATATGCAGAGAGGGCATCCAGGGCAATCACTGTGTCCTAGGAAGGTTGGACCAGAACTCAAGAGTTTGCTCTTAGGACTATCCACACCCAGAGGCTTGGGACAGCCCCTACCTGGGTGCTGCGGAACCCCCCTCGGAAGCTGCTCTGATGGGTAAGCCAGGCTGCAGCCTGGTCTGCCATCTCTGCCTTGCCCTCTCGAAGCAGCAGATGTAGCAAGCCGTAGGCTGTGGTTTCAATCCACAGGGCTGGGGCCTGGGGCATGGGGTCTGCTGGGTTGCGAGGAGTCAGGGTGGGTGACACAGCATTATTCTGAGAACTGGCGACGGAGCCCCAGTACAGGCTCTCTGGAAGTGAAGAGAAACCCACAAGTGAACAGGGCTGGGCAAGGACAGGATACTAGCTGCCTAGCCCTTGGATGTCCCCTGTTGGGCTCTCCTAATTCTACTGCCAGATCATCTCTACTTATGCTTTAATTCCTTCCCAGGGTCTTCACCCAATCTCTCCCTTTGGGCACACTCAGTGATCCCTAAATCCTCCAGGTCTCAGACATACTGCCTAGATCATATTGTCCCTTACCGCCAGTCTCCTGAGCCATGGCCATGAGGTTGTTGTGGGCAACATTCTGCAGGTCCTCAGGGGCCTTGGTCAGTGTCAGGGCATAGGCTGTGATTGCAGCTGCATGGGCACCCAGGAGCCCAGCACTTGCTTTCTCTCCCAAGAATGAATTTGCCTTTGAGATGGAGGTTTCCTGGAAGAAAGTGAGGAGGAAGGTCTGGGGGCTGGGTACCTGGCTTCCTGAGGGGAAAGAGGGAGAGCTGGGGGCCAGTGAAGGGCAGAAACTCAGCTGTCCTTACCACTCTCTGCTTCAACTGCTCTGCACTTCCGTCCTGGAAGACGGACAGCCCATGTTGAAGGGCAATTGCCACGAAAGCTGTGAGTGCCACGGTCTCATCATTTCCCACCAAGCCCCCCTGCGAGGGGAAAAAAGATGTCAAACAGGAGGGGGATGGGGCAGAGAATCCTCTCACTGGTGCTCTGGGGCCCAACCCACCAGTATGCCCACACCTGCATGCCCCTGTGGATCACTGGACAGGGGTCCTGGAATGAGCCATCAGCCTGCTGCTGGGACAGCAGCCACCTGGCCGTCTCCTGCAGCTTCTCAGGTGAGCCACCCACCTGCTCCTGGGCCAGACTCAGTACCTTCAGCACAAAAGCAGTGAGCCTAGTGATGAGGAAGATGGGCTGACGATGGGGACAGCCACTCTCCCAGGTGACCTGATTATTCTCCCCATTGAATCAGCTCTGTCCCCACCAGCCCTGATCCCTCTCAGAGACCTGGAACCATCCTCCCAGCCTCACCAGGTACTGCTGTCCCGGTGTAACCATGCCCCATAAGAGCCATCTGTCTTCCGAAACTGCTGGATGCGCATGTAGCCTTAGAGAGGAGAAGAGGCTGCTCAGATGACACCCACCTACTCTTTTACTATTTGTGCCCAAAGCCATGCTCCCTGTTCCCATTGGAGACCCCCTTCCATACCCTCTAGCCTCCTGGGCTACCAATCTTTTGTTATCTGCCCTTCCTCAGCCCCACCCCTGTCACCCCTGCACCCAGAACCTTTCTGGATCAGATCCACAGAATGGTCCTTGGTCTCAGGAGGCAGCATGCTCCACTGCTCCGTCTTATCCAGGTAGCGGGAAGCAGCCAGTGTTGGAGCCAAGTAGATCATGGTTTGTTCGCCACAGCCTTGGGGAAGCCTTAGGAGAGAGGTCAAGCCTCCTGGTGACAAGGCCCCCTCAGAGCCCAAGGTATTCAGTGGATCTGAGGCTATACAGAAAGGAGAGTGTGGGGATCAGTGCAGGCCTGTGGACCCAGGGTCAGAGAGGGACTGTGTGATCAAAAGGGGTCCATAAGCTTCACATGAATCTGAGGGCAGCCACTGAGAAGGGACTGGAGGACACTCCCACCTGTAACCCTGACAATGCTGCTGAAATCTCCATCAGGGATAATATTGGGATCAGAGTTGCCAGGAATTTCCAAAGTCCGGGCTCGGTGGTCTGGGGAGATAGGAGAAGTTAGCAGTCTGTCTTGCCATCTTGGCCACATCCTTGGCCACCCACACCTTTAGGAAACTGATGGCTGGTGCATGGGGGTCACTCACCCAGTGGGTTGAGTTCATAGACTAGCTCCTCTGTGTGGATGGCCCCTTCCTTCTGCCTCGGAGGAAACATGGCTGTGAGAGATCACACAGGACTCCAGCCTGCCCCAGCCAGAGCAGATGTCCTGAGGACTTGGAATTTAAACTTCAGGGACAGAGTTGGATAAAAATTGTGGAAGATATGAATAGACCAAAGCATTAGGCTTGAGTGCTGGGTCCTTAGCCTGCCTAGTAGAAAGTGCTGACAGTGAGGGATAGAGCCAGTGAGGAACAGACCCAGATTCAGGGGCTGCTCCACTCACCTCAATTTGCAAAATCTTAGACACTGCATCCCCCACAGGGAAGTCAAGGGATCCTCGAGCCACCACTTTCAGGGACACGTGAGCAGCTGCTATGGGCACCACAGAGAAGGCAACAGGCCGGGCAGAGCCTGCAGGCACCAGCACCTGCTGGGCCAGCCCTCCGCCCCCTGCCAGGCACAGCCCTTCCACTGGGGACACATGGACGCTCACCTGGGGGCAGGAAAATGGGGATGGCTAGAGCTCTAGCCCAGTTACACTCCCCAGCCCTCATCTGCTTCTGGTTCCCCCCAGGCTCCCACAGGGCCTCACAGTTAGGTTTTTATCTAGGTAGTTGTAGAGGACAGGCCGTAGCTCAAGCTGCTCGAAACGGCGGACAGACATAGGCAAGCGGAGGTGCAGGTGGAACTCACGGAACACTCGGAGCTGGGCTGGTGTGGCCACACATAGGCCTGGTTGGGGAGGGAGCATGGGGAAGGGGACAGAAATCAGATGTGGGGAATTAAGACCTCAGTGCCACAGGAGGGAGGGGCAGGGGATAACCCAGATCTGCCCCAGCCTGCCTCTGCTCTCTGGCCCAAGTCAGGTAGGTGCCAGCACCAACTTCCCAGATCTCTGGACCCCTTTCCTATACTAAGTGCAAAGGGCTAAGCAGGGAGGCAGAGTCAAGGGAAATGGAGGAAGGGCACCCTGAGGCCCAAGCAGGGTGACCTTGCCTTTGCTTTCAGACAGGCTCACGCCATGGATCTCCCATGTGGTCAGAGAATCAGGAAGAACTTGTGTCAATCTGCATTGGGAAAGGTAGGAAAGCCCTTCAGGCCCCAGGCTGGCCCAGACACACCCCAGAGACAAGGCTAGGCCCACATACACCCTCACATTTTGGAACGGTCCACTGATTCCAGTCTCCAGAGCCAGTTCTCTGGGAAGAAGCTGCGTACAACAATGTCATCCTCGTCAATCAGGTCCTCCTCCTGCAGCTTTTCCATGACTGGAGGACCACAGTGGATGGGAGTGAGGAGGGGGCCATTCTGTCCTTCCAGGCACTGCTGCCTCCCCCTCAGCCCCACACAGCCTCTCACCTCTGCCAAGGCCCTCCTGGCCCCTGGCCTGGCTTTTACGCAGGCTCTCAGCAAACTGGCAGCAGGACAGAAAGGGCTTCTGGCAGGCTGGCTCCAACACACGAGCTGCCCGCTGCTCACAGGAGCGTGCCATGGGCAGCCGTGTCAGCCCATCCTGGCAGCAGCGTTTGGCTGCTGGGGAAGTATACTGGCCCACTGCAGGGCCAGGTATGTGTCAGCATGAAGGGACAAAAAGGAGATACTCATCCCTGACCCCAACCGCAAGAGCCAGCACCACTCACCTTTATCCCTGGAATTTGGATCTCTGGCCCGAAATACTATATACTGGCTCAGTGAAGAGCTAAGGGGCAGAGAGGCAGAACCCCCACCCCAGTGGTGAGCTTAAGCTGCTTCCTAGGCGCCCACAACTCACACTTCTCACTAATTGCCTTATGGAAGTTCACGTTTCTTTTATTCCGGGCTTTCTTCTCCTTAGGACAGCTCAGACCTGGGAGAGAACAAGACTGTAGTCAAGCCATCAGGTATGTGCATCCCTCTCCTTCCTTCCCCTGCCCAGTGTTCCCATCTCTCCTCTTCCTACCTGCCTCCTCAGGCCCTCCCTCCTTCCCTATCTTCCTGCCACTTTCCTCCCCTTCCTCCTTTGTGCTCACTCTCTCTGGCGGAGGTCCATTTGTCTCCATCAGAAAAGGCCAGACCTGCTGCCTGGAATACTTGAAGGGCACTGTCCCCACCCCCAGGACCACAACCGAGGTTATAACTGTTCATAACTTCAAAGACCTGGCAAGAAAAAGCAGGAATGCTGGGAGCCAAGAGTACTGAAGGGCAGAACCAGCCACTCAGCTATGGGTGAGAGAGCAGAGAATAAACAAATATGAAAGGGATACAGATGGTGGAGACAGAGACCACAGGGCCAAGAAAGGAAGCAGATGAGGCCCAGGCCAGGGGAAAGGTGGAGGAGAAGTCTTTGGGGAGCTGGAGTGAGACTCAGAGGCTGGAGCCAGGGCTCAGGGCAGCAGGGTAAAGAACCACAGTGGGGCAGGAGGGCTGGGGAGAAAGTCTGGACAAACCTTGCTCATGTCAAGGGGCTTGTGGGACCTGCCACCCACAGCATATAGAGCCGTGTCCACAGCTCCCAGTGCCACCAAGGCTGGGGAGTCAGTTTGCAGACGGAGCTTTACAGTTTCCCCATCACGATACTCCCTGTCACTGTCCACATTCAGCTCCAGCTGGCAGGAATAGGAGGTGGGAGAGGTCAGAGAGAGAGAGCTTCTTTCAGTCTCGGCATCCTTGCTGCACCCCTAGCTAAATCCATGCCCTATTAGCAGTCACCCTGGCCTCGATCTCTCTTAACTCTCCAACATAAATGCAATCTCTCCAGATCCCAGTTACCTTGCCCTCACAGGCCCCAGCCTGGATGTCCACTCGCAGGGAGTTGGCCACTGGGAGGCCTCTATGATAATAGAAGGCCACAACGTAGAAGGAGGGGGCCAGGTTATGATCCACAAACACAGAGACTGTGGTCAAGGTCCTTCTGGGCTCTCGATTCATAGACACAATCTCACCCCGGGATAGAATCTGGGCCAAGAAGAGGAGGGCCAAGAATGGTTTCCTTTTCATGGTACAGACCCAGACCTGAAGCACTCCCAGCTCCATGCAGAGAGCTCTTCTCTGCACCCCCGCCCTCCTTGACTCCCAGGCTCATGCACACCATGTAGTAGTAATGCGAGAAGGTGGCCCCACTGATGCCCACAGCTCGCAGATTTAGATTGAGAGTATCCCCAACATGAGGGGGTCGAGGATTCAGCCACTCAATAGACAGAAACCCGGAGCCTTCCGATGGGGGAGCTCTCACAGCAAGCCTGGCTGTAGCTGGATGGAGGGAGCCTGCAGACACCTGGAGAGAGGGCAGGTGCCAGTAGGGTCAGTGGCAAGGATCTAGGTACCCCAGTCGTCCCCACAAGCTAAGCCAGGATCCTCAGGAATCCAGCTTCCCCCACTTTCCTTCCCCCTCCATTTCCCGTGGGTCTGAGGAGTCCTACCAAGAGCTGCAGTTCTGAGGTGGTCTGAGGGATAATGATGGGAATGCTGACTTGGCCATTCCCATCTGTGTTTTGTTGAAAGTTCTGAGTTTGGGTAACAGACCCAGGAGAAGACAATGTGGCAGAAACTTTGACAGGAATGCCAGAGGCTGGAGAGCTGGACATCTCACGGACCAGGGCCTAGATGGGTGGTGGAAGGGCCAGTAAAAAGTGGTTAGTGAGCCCCTGTACCCTCCTGATCAACATCCCCTCTCCCTACTCAGACTCCCCTCCCCCCAAGAAAAAACCTGCAGCAAGAAGGGGGCTCCAGGTACAAGGTGTCGCTTGGTGTTGCTAAGATCCAAGGAAAAAGGAGATGATACAAACTGCCAGGATGTGAGCTCTGCCTCCTCCATTTCCCCCCCTGCAAGATAAAGGACAGAGAGGTGGAGGACAGAGGCCAGGGAGAGGAACTAGAGTGAGCAGGGAGTGTTTCCCTCTCACAAGACAGTGAACTCCTCAGGGCATAGGCCACTCAAAGCCCAGCCTAGGATGTGGCACACATATGATACATAACACATGTTTGCTGGACAGGTAAATGAATGAATGAGCAAACAAATACAAATAAACTGAGCCAGGGTAAGGGGGAGAGACAGAGTTGGAGAGACCCAGGCTCCTGAATCTTTCCTGGCTTTGAGTCTGAGATGAGGTGGGAGACATCGGGGTGGTATCGGTACTGAAGACCAGAGGGTCAGTTTAGAGGTCAGGGACAGGGCTCTGGGGTTATAATAAAGGAAAGTCACTTACCTGGAGACTCAATGATTGCTGCTGCAACATAGAAACGCATTCCCAAGAGGTCAGGAATATTAATATTAAGCTTTTTCAGGGCACCCTGGAATTCTGCCTCTGAGAGGGAAATGTGACTCTGGCCATCCACAAGCTGGGGCAGAGAAGAAAACAGGACATGAGTGGGACTGTGTCTCTCACCTCTCCCTCACCTCCTTCACCTCCCAGCCTCTTTCCTACCTTGGTCTGACTCTCCAGCCCCCGAAGGAAAGTCTTCTCCCCATTCTCACCCAGGAGCCCAAAACGCACATACGCCACCCCCTGCACTGGCTTCCCGTAGATGTACCTGTTGCCACAGGGAAACTGGGAAGAGGGTGGGCCAAGGGTGGGGGAACTAATGATCTGGGGTAAGGCAGCAGCACTCCATGGCCCACTAAGACTGAATGGGGAGCCCAGGGAGTAGGACCTAGCAGGGGAGTCCGGGGAGTATAACTGGGCAGTGGTGGTGGTGGCAGTTACCTGGCCTGGATGTCTAATTGGATTTCACCAAGATGGCCTGGCACTATCAGAATGTAGGGCTTTCCAGGGGTGATCTTCACCTCAAAGTTGGGAAGAACTGACCCAAAGTGAAGGGGTAGACAGATCAGCCTCTAGTTCAGAGATTCCCTTCCACTCAGGGCTGTGGATAGTATAGTATCTCACTGGCCTTGCCTTTTTTCCACCTCTCTCCTTCCACCCTTATTTCCTTCAGGAAAACAGCTGTCTGTCCTTTGTGTCACTAGTTCTTACCATATTTCTTCACCTCAAACTGGGTGCTGCTGTTGGATTCCAGGCTGTCTGAGAATCGGGCTGAGATCTTCCAGGTCCCTGGCCTGAAGACAGACAACGAAAAGACTTAGCCCATCTGTGCAGGAGAGCCATGAAGAGGCTTGGTCTCCTGGGAAGGACTGTGGGGTTAAGCCAGAGGCTCAGAAGGGTCAGGGCATCTTGGAGATGTGACTGTGTGTGTGGGAGGTAGAGAGCCTAATGCAGTGGTTCTCAACCTTCTTAATGCCATGGCCCTTTAATACAGTTCCTGTGGGTCACAACCCACAGGTTAAGAACCGCTGGCCTAATGGGAAACAGGACTTAGGGTAGTCATGGGGATAATTCCCAGGTCAGTGAAGCTCACTCTGAGATGTCCGGGATCACAAAGTCATCTTGGAAGATGGATAAAGGAGCATGTACCTCCTTCTTCTGCACGCGGAGGCCATGAGAGTTCTACAAGAGGAATAGAAGTGGTCACAGGTGGGAGGTCACATCAGTGGCCAGGGGCTGGAAGGCCAGAGGTCAGCGACTCACCTCCACCGTGACTGTTATAGTGTCAGTGCTGGGGCGCATCTTTTGGTCCAGAGTAAAGACCCGGTACCGAACTAGGAGTGGAAGAGGAAAGAGGTGAGCAGGAGTCCATGTGCAAAGGGAGGGTGGGCTCAACTCCGGGGGGAGGGGGGGAATGTATATTTGATACGCAACCCTCCCATGTGGTGCTTTCTTAAGATTATCTCACTTAAGGGGCATGAAACATGTGTAAGTGGGCTGGGAAGGGGTTAAAGGCAGAGGCCCTAAGGCTAAGACTCACCCCTTCGGCCAGGGTTATAAATGGGCTGGTCAGTCTGCAGAAAGAGGTGCCCCCGGCGAGAGGAGAAGAGCAGGTTGACACCCTGGGTGTCTGTATTTTTGGCCAGAGAGCCCTTCAGCCATGGTGACTGGGCCACCAGCTGGACCTTGGGGCCTCTGAGGAGGTGATTGAGGCCACAGATCCTTGTGTCTTTTGGGGGGATCTGTCAGGAGAGAAAGAGGGAGTAGGTCAGAGAGATAGCAGACAGAAAAGGACAGAGATCAGACAGAAACATGGAAGACTACAGGGGTGAGAAGAGAAGAGGAGGGGAGAAGGCCGGTGGAAAGATGATAACACCAGATGGGGGGAAAGGTGGGAGGTCCCCAAAAACAGCAGGTGGGTGTGGGGTCCAATTACCTGGAGACTGAGAAGTACGAAGTCTTTTTCTGAGCTGAGGGTGAAGTGCTCCTTTGGAGAGCAGGGGGCGTTATTAGAGGATGGGTTTCTCAGGAACACTGATCCTTTCACTACCTGTCCTGGGGGTACATCTTGGAGCTGTACCCCCACTGACAGGGGGACTCCCAGATGAACAACAGAAGGAGAGAACAGGAGCAACCTGGGGAGAATAGTGAGGGTCAACAGTCAGTCTTCACCCTGACCCCTCCACCCCAGCTCTCCTTCACTCCTGAATTTGGTCCCACTGCCAGCTCTGCCCCAACCCAAGCAGCCAGCATTGTGCATCCAGGACCTGGGCTTCTGCAGGGACAAGGCGAAGAAGCTAGATGCCCAGACCAGCCCCCAGAGGAGCCTCATGGCTGCAGGATCCAGGAGGGGTCAGATCCGTCTGTCTAGCTACTCCCTTCTGGTCAAGTTGGGGCTTGGGGCAAAGTTGACTCTGGACCTTGCTCCTCCCCCAGCCCAGTTAAGCCGGGAAACCACGTGACAGCCAAGAAATGCAACTGGCCCCAGGCCCAGTGTTGGGGGAGCAACTGGGACACCTAGCTCTCTGAGGGGATCTGGCAGAATTTTGGCCCAGAGATCGATCCTATCCTTCCCTGTTAACCCGTCATCCCAGTGCCTTGGCACCTCCTCCCACTAGGTGATCTGTGTAGGTGTGCGTATGCACACACTCCTGTATACACAAGTGTACAAAGGCCCAACATGGCCCAGATGCATAGGATATTTAAAGGTCCCAACAAAATGGATGGGCTTCTAAGACACTTGTCTCTTATTTTCACGCCGACACAAACTGAACTATATTAGGTTTTTTTTCTTTCTTTCTTTTTTGTAGGTCCTATATGAAATTCTTGTGGTTTTGGAGATCAGGTACACTCTCACTTTCCCACAGGGAGAACTGCTCTGAATGTGAAAGTTAACCCTTTTCTTCTCTGAACAATGAGGCAAAGCTCAGGGCTAGGTTTGGTTTTAACTTTACCCCCAGACAAGACACCCAAACTTACATGTCACAGTAACCAAAGGATAACCAGAAAACATCAAAGAAATAGTTTATTTGGCAATTTCAATCTGACATGTAGGCAAGAGAACCCTGCCCTCCTTCACCAGCCTCCCCAGAAATCCCACCATCCTATCTCAACACAGAGAACAGTACCTTTGACATGAAAGGCAGCAGCCACAGCCAATTTCTGGCTCCACTTCCGTGGAAGAGCAGAGAAGCACTGCCCAAACCCCATCACTGACTCAGCCCAAGTAAACAGCAACAATTACATCTGATCCTTTGCATGGAAAACCTAACACTCATCCTGGCTCCCAAGCCTTCCCAAGGTGACCCTGTCTCAGCCACCATAAGGAAGCACTCCAGAACCCATTGGTCCACTCTGGGGAGCTGTGCAAAGATGAGTAGAATCCTCACGTCTCTGGCAGGCGGAGGAGGGTTCCAGACGTGGTGGAGATGCTGTATAGGAGAAAGACAAGGCTGGAGCCAGACATGTAGACCTGTGGTATAAGGAGAACTCAGAACTTAGCAAAAGGTATTCCTGGGTTCCAAAGAAGAATGATAGAGGAACAGGGCTTTACTAGTGAATTAAACATGAGCTGGCCTGAAAATCTGGCCTTGGCTCATTGCTCTGTCACCTGCCAGAGACCAGGGGGCAAGACTTACCAGTCCACCAGCTGGGCCCCAATGAGGTCATGCACGTGGTAGGTGAGGCCAAGACGCACTGTGGCAGGTGTCCGCCGGCCCAGGAGCTCAGACAGGAGTAGTTCCCTGTACTTGGCCTTTCGGACCATGCCAAGGACAGTCTGGCGCCCTGGATAAGATGGGTGGCACAGGACAGGGAAAGGTGAATAAGGACCAGAAGCCTAAGGAGCCACCAAAAGGTGTTCTTGAGGGGCTGCAAGTTTGAGCGGCTGACAGATACCTTTAACAAAGTACTTGATGAATCTCCCAGCTCCAGGCACAGCTAGCCACCAGCTCCCAGCATCTCGGACATTGAATACTCCAGCATTCACCAGATGCCTAAGGGCAGTGAGAAGCCAAGAAAGATGAGGCCTGGGCTCTGAGAACCATCTGTTAACGTTTGAGCACTGAGTCATCAGAAACATGGGCAACCACACAAGAGGGACTAAACAACAAAATCCCAACTTTGGGCAATTCCCTGCTCTTACCATGCCCCTTACTGCCTCTGTGCTCCTGTTTATCCAGTCTCTCTACCTGGACTGCCCTCCTTCCTTCCTTTTCCTATTGTTGTTCACTCATTCAACTAGCTTCTCCTCTCAGAAGCCTTTTCCAAGCACATGCCCAGACACACACTCAGTTGCAGGACTGAAAGGGGAAATCAGTGTTCTATGCTCCTGCCACGGCCTATGCATACCTCAATACAGCTCCCACTATCTCACAGAAAGTATCTATTTCCCCAGATGATATCAGTACTTTAGTTTGTTTATTTATTTATTTGAGACAGAGCCTCAAGCTGTCACCCTGGGTGGAGAGTTGTGGCATCATAGGTCACAGAAACCTCCAACTCCTGGGCTCGAACGAGTCTCCTGCCTCTGCCTCCCAAGTAGCTGGGACTACAGGCGCCCGCCACAACACTTGGCTATTTTTTGGTTGCACCCATCATTGTTGTTTGGCAGGCCCGGGCTGGATTCAAACCTGCCAGCTCAGGTGTATGTGGCTGGCGCCTTAGCTGCTTGAGCCACAGGTGCCAAGCCTAGTTTGTTCATTTTTTAAATGTGAATGTTTAGGGGCATCTCAGCTCTTATTATTCTCTATCCTCTTAATTCCAGTATGATCACCATCAGGTTTGTATGGTTCTTGCCAGGCCCCTATGTGCATTGGATAAGCCACCCAGACAGATCTCCTGAAGAATCAAAGGCTCTTTTCAAGTTCCTAGGTAAGACAGGTCTCCTCTCCCGTGGGGAGGAGTGCAAAGTTAGAAGATCAAAAAGAAGAGTTGGACTATTTTGGCAGGTCTTCCAGAAGGAAAAGGCTGGATGGAACTGGAGAGAGGGAGGGAAACTCTAGATGCCTGTTTCTGTTGGTTCCACAAGTCTCACGTGATCTCTGGGTCCCTGAAGCCAAAGGTCTGTGTCATTTGGTCCTCCTGGAAACTAAGGTCTCCACAGGCTGGAAGCACTAAAGCCAGAAACTTCTGTACTGCCCCAGCATATGGTCGGCCATCACAGGCCTTGAGGACCTACAAGCAAAGATGAGACATGGTCTGGCCCCATACTCACCCTCCACCAACCTCTATCCCCAAGACAGCATTTCTCTTCCTGTTTTCCATCTTGCTCAGGTCATTCCACCTTCTATACCATTCTTTCTCATCCTCCTGTCCCTCTTCCTTATGTTACTACTTATCAGAGCCCTGTGCCCTCCCCCCCCCACCCATGGGATATGAGATAGAAAAATTGTTTCTTTTGTTTTTATTCCTGTTTCCCAATTTCCCTGCCCTGATCTACCATCCAGGACATACACAAAGTCACACATACTCTGGTCCTGTAGTCCTCGGTGAAGATAATTCCATGGGCATCCAAGTCGAAGCCCAGCTGGATGATTCTGATCTCCCCCTGCTCTTGAAGCTCCTTCTGCCTCCACAGAGATGGGAGTGAAAAGAAAAGTATCAGGCTAAGATGCTCTGCTATTCTCTAGGTACACTGGGGCAGGGAAATTCTGTTTGGCAGTATCGGGCATTTTTCTCTTAGTAAAGGAAAAACTATGTGGGAGGATAATCATGTGGATGAACATTAGCCTTTTCCAGCTAGTAACCTACCCTCTCTTTTACCTGCCTTATCAGTTGTCTATCAAACAATCAATAGAATTTTCTATGACTAGTCATATGCCAGGCACTAAAGTAAAATAATAATTAAGATATAGGCCCTGGCCTCAAGAAATCAACACTCTAGGAAGGAAAATGGGGAGGAATATGGGATAAAATATTTAAAATAAATAAAAATAAACCAGGCGGCTCGGCACCTGTGGCTCAAGGGGCTAAGGCGCCAGCCACATACACCTAAGGAGGCGGGTTCGAATCCAGCCCGGGCCCACCAAACAACAATGACGGCTGCAACCAAAAAATAGCCAGGCGTTGTGGCGGGCGCCTATGGTCCCAGCTACTTGGGAGGCAGAGGCAGGAGACTCACTTTAGCCCAGGAGCTGGAGGTTGCTGTGAGCTGTGATGCTACTGCACTCTACCCAGGGGGATAGCTTGAGGCTGTCTCAAAAAATAAAAATATTTTAAAAACCCCAGGCTTCTGTTTATAGGAATACAGCAAGAATTAACTTTCCTGTTGAAAATTAAAATTCTGGATAAAATATTATTTAAAAATTATTTAAGATTAAAGAGCTCATGAGGTAACAGAAATTACCAGACCAATATAATATCTAAGTGAAAACAGGTATTCATAGAGGTAACTGGAACATGGAGGGCATTTGCTGATCTAAGCAAATGTGTCCAGCACATAATCAAAAACAACTGGGCACATAAGAAAATAAACTCGGCTCGGCACCTGTGGCTCAAGTGGCTAAGGCGCCGGCCATGTACACCCAAGGTGGCAGGTTCGAATCCAGCCCGGGCCCGCCAAACAACAATGACGGCTGCAACCAAAAAATAGCTGGGCATTGTAGTGGGCACCTGTGGTCCCAGCTACTCAGGAGGCTGAGGCAAGAGACTCGCTTGAGCCCAGAAGTTGGAGGTTGCTGTGAGCTGTGATGCCACAGCACTCTACCCAGGGGACAGCTTGAGGCTCCTGTCTCAAAAAAAAAAAAAAGAAAAAAAAGAAAAGAAAACTCAGCTCAGCACCTATAGTTCAGTGGTTACAGTGTCACCCACTCTACCCAGGATGACAGCTTGAGACTCTGTCTCAAAAAAAAACTCTAAAGAAACAAAAAATAGAAACAAAACCCAAGGCACTCATAGCACAGTGGTTATGGTGTCAGCCACATGCACCAAGGCTGGTGGGTTCAAACCCAGCCCAGGCCTGCTAAACAACAACTACAACAAAAACAGAGCTGGGCATTATGGTGGGCACCTGTAATCCTGGCAAGAGAATTGCTTAAGCCCAAGAGTTTGAGGTTGCTGTGAGCTGTGATGCCACTGCACTCTACCAAGTAGAGACTCTGTCTCAAAAAAAAAAAAAAAAGAAAAGAAACAAAACCCAAAAGACATGTAATAGTGGAATTATCAAAAAGACTATTTTAAAAACTACGTTCACAATGCTGAAATAAATAAAAGCCAAGATACCAAAAATCCCAGCAGGAAATTATAAAAACTGACACAGCAGATTGGAAAAATATCCAAGTAGTAATTTTAGAAATGAAAAATAAATGAAATTAAGAACTCAATAGATGGGTTTAACACATTAGGCACAGCTGAATCAAAAGCTATTAATATGCCTCAATGCTCATAGCTCAGTGGTTAGGGCGCTGGCCAC